CCAAAAAAATTACAAATTTAAAAATCGCTAATTTTCGAAATTTTTTCAATTTTTTTTACTTAAAATTGCTATAACTTTTTTAAAAATAACCAAATCAATATAATTCTTTTTTTTATAGATGCATGATATCCATTACCTTTCATTTGGTATATTTTTTTTTTATATGTGACCCTTTACTTGACCACAGGGGGGGATTTAAAATGACTTTAACACAACTTTTACACAAAAAATAATTTTTTTCAACTTGATTTTTGAAAATGTTTCGGAAGGTCTGACACTTTTATATATATCTTAAATTAAAGCTAATGTAATCTACTTTATTATGTAAAAAAAAATTTCGGACTTTATTTTGTCTTCACGGTGAAAATGGCTACCAAATGCTATTATTGTGTGAAAATTCTCAATTTTATTTTTTACATTTTTAACTTTATAATGCTATAACTTATTGAAAAGTGTATTGATCAATATAATTTTTTTCTTTCGACATACTTTATCTTAATCAGGATATTAATAAGGAACTAGTAGTTTATGAAGCTTTTGGAATAATCCACCAATTTTTTAAAATTAAACACTATCTAAAGACTTGCATCGAAGCGTTTTTTTTTATAGTGATTTTAATCACTGTCAGATATCATTATACTTGATTCAACAATGCTACGTCACCACTGTGCTGCGACTCCCCTGTGCTGGGTTTTTTTATAAATGAATATTTGTATAAATTTTATTATTGCTTAACGCAGTAAATTTTAGNATGTTTATTTTTTTATAAATGAATATTTGTATAAATTTTATTATTGCTTAACGCAGAAACTAAAATTTACTTCTAATGTTAACAAATTGTAATTAAACCATTTTTTTTATATTTGTAAAATAAAAAAGAAAAACCCAGCACAGGGGGGTCGCGGCACAGTGGTGACATGGCATAGTAGTGACGTGGCATAGTTGGGTCAAGTATAATGATATCTGACAGTGATTAACATCACTATCATAAAAAACGCTTCGATGCAATTCTTTAGACAATGTTTAGTTTTAAAAAATTGGTGGATTATTCCAAAAGCTACATGATCTGCTATTTTCTTATTTATATCCTAATTAAGATAAAGTATGTCGAATAAAAGAATGATATAAATATTATTTCTCATAAAAAAATTCTATTGATGTAAAATGTAAAAAATAAAATCGAGTTTTTCACACAAAAATAGCATTCAGTAGCCATTTACACCATGAAGACAAAATAATAATTTTTTTTTTCATAATATAGTATATTATATTAGCTTTAATTTAAGATAAATAAAAGTGTCAGACTTTCTGGAACACTTTCAAATATAAATTTGAAAAAGTTAATTTTTTGTGAAAAAGTTGTCATTTTAAATCTTCCCCTGTGGGACCTGCCCACAGGGTCAGATTTATAAGAAAATATACCCAATGAAAGACTAAGATATCATAGTAAAACCAATACCTTCTCAGCTTCGCATCAAAGCTATAAAATACCATTTTAGTATTTATCATTTATTCAAGTAAAATTAACACATTTATATTATAATTATGGTTGATTTATTTATAACATAATAATGTTACAATACTATTAATATAGTGGCTAACATGTTTTACAAAACTTAATAGATTATAATGTTGCAACGATGTTTGAAATTCGTATTAGGTTTTTCTTAAGGCTTTAGTATGACTTTTAGGATTATATACAGTTTATTTTCTTGTAAAAATATAGTGGCTCAATTGATATTAGAGTAAATTAAAAAAAATTATACTTCTTTTACAAATGTAATGATCAGCGTTTAATGAATTATTTTAATTATATAAGGATGTCAAAATTATTTCAACGTCTTACCATAATTCATTTGTTCAAAACCATTTATGTTTAAATTAGCAATGCAATTATGGAATGCATTTTGTGCTTGTGGTAAATTTTTGGATGACAAATAATTAATAACTTTATTAAGTTTAATACCTGCTGATGTTGATAATATTAGTCCCTAAAAAAATAACATATTCAATCTTCAGAGTGTTATAGTAATTTGGAATTGCTAAACGAATAAAAAAGTGATTTTTTCAACAATTGTAATTACTTGATATATATTTTAAAATTATATTTCATAAAACAAAAAAGGTGTATAATAATATATTTTATTGGTTAATTTTTACTTACAGAAAACATGGAATCATCTAAAACCAAATACGTGTAAAAAGCAGCACAACAATACTCTGCAAAAGGGATTTCGTCAGATCCAAAGATGAAGAATTTTACACCACGAACAACTCCATCTAGAGGAATTTTACCAGAAATCATTTTAATTATATCTCCGATTATACATTTTCGTACATCGTTTCGTTCGTCTTCTTTTAACTCTCCTTCGTGCACATCTAAAGCATAGTAAAACTATTGGCCCATTTATTTTTATTGTATAGACAGTGTATAAGGTTCAATTACTCATTTCTGACGTATCATGTCCATCAAGAGAATACATATTTATGCAAGTTCGCAGAATTTTATACGCTCGATAAAAACGCAAATTTAATCGTTTCCTAAATGTTTTCAAATGGCCCGTTATCTTAAAATAAAGATGTTTTTATAATTAAAAAGAGATATTAAAAAAACTTGTATAATGTAAATATTTATATCATAGTTTACTTAACGTTTAGTTATATGACGGGAAAGCCTGTTATCCTTCAAATTCTACGCGGGGGAGCAAGAATGTATAGTTGCTAACTAGATGTATATCACATGGACGCATTCGAGATGGGTTTGCTGCTCGCTCATAAGTCGGCGCCTGTGATACCAAACCGGCAAGTCATCGTGAGCAAAGTTGGACCGGAGGGTGGTGTCGTATATGCCCAATTGCTCGGCATACACGTATATCGCTTTATATTGTAATTGATAATTATCAATAAAAATACTATAATTTGTATTTTATATTGATACTAAGTAAATAAAATTAGTTGTCATTATAATCACACTGTTCAATACTATAATTAAACCATTCTTAACAATACTATCAAATTGTATTAATCATGTAACATTTAATATGTAAAATAAAAAGACATTCGCTAAAAACGCTGACAACAATATCCCTGGATTGTGGAGGGGGGGGGGTACCATATTACACTATATAAAGCACAAAAATCCTTTCATAGCGGCATTCGATTTCATCGTATTGACGCGACTTAAGTCGCAAAAATGTAGTCGACACTGGTTTTGAGGGTAGAGACCCGTGGGCCGTTTATTAATGAGCAACAACGGGTTAACTTTAAAGAAAGACAAATAAACCGAAAAGACGAATACAGTAATAATAATCTTCGCTTAATATCGAGGCACTTTCGCTGACGTCCACAACTCGGTGTCCAGCATGATCCTCGGCGCCAAAAAGTTAGTAGCTATAATGACGACGGTGCGGCACGTCCGGAGCCGGGGCGAACATCCTCGACGTTGTCACGCTGATAACAGGAAGAAGACTCAACGTATCATTTGCGATGAGTCGTCGTCGGCTGTGCGGCAATTGCTGGACTTTGCATCGTGGCGTATGGTACGCGGTGTTGGTCAGTCAAATACTCATAGTAGGGCGACGGCTGATAAAGGTGGCACGAGTCGTGGGGCATCGCGTATAACGAAGCGACGCGGGACCGTGTCAGTATATACTAAATCAACAATTGTCAGCCACAAACCTGTGTTGTTGTCGGCTACCTTTTTTACGTTTGTGATTTATATACGAAAAGAATTTGTTTTAATTATTTATCTTGTGACGAAATGCAAATCCAATATCTCTAATTATATAAACATATTGAAATATTTATCAAATCATCTCACAGCAATTTGCAAAACAAAAAAAGAAGCAAGTAAATTTATGTTATCCCAATTATTTGGAGTTAAGAAGTTTGAGTAAAGGATGACAAAGCAATAGATCATTTATTAAATCAATATCTTTAAGTGTTAATTTTGACTGGTTGGTTAAAATATTATACATTAGAACGTTATATGGTATTCGTGAACTGGCTCCGCCGTCTCGTTGCCTCTTAGTTAAGACATTAGAAAGACAAAAGTTTATTACACCTCGATTTCTATGTACTGCGTTTATTATTTTTATATCTACTTGTCTTTGTCGTTCTAAACCCTCGAACCATATGACTCCCAAAGAACCACAACCTGATGTTCTCACCATATAATAGCCCTACTTCTAATTTAATCATTTTTATTTTATTAATTTTTGTTATTTGAATTATAACAGTGGAAAATAGTATTAAGAATACATTTAAATTCTTGTCAATTCGCATTTCTAAACTGTAAATTATTTTTTATTGAATTGTTAGAATAATCTAAAAACCATTGAGATAATATTAATATCAGCATTTCGTTATTTTGTACCTCGGGATATTCCACTGCAAACAAACTTGAGTGGAAAATTTTACAACAATCTTCAAACTTTTCTGTAATAATAGATTTATCTAATTTTAAAAATTCAATTATTTTTTGACTCATTTCTTTTGGCTGAATTTCACGAGAAATTATATCATCTCCTAGTCTACTTAAAAATTGGTTGAATTCATCTGTAAAATTACAAATTAATAACGATAAATTAATCATACATCTGAATAACTCATTCAAAAATTAATACTATTTAAAATAAATAGTTGCAACATTAAAATACAAATAATTATATAAAATCATAAGTGTTGCTAAATGGATAGACTTTTTTCTCATTCATTTTTATGTTGGTTAAGATTTTATTTTGTATTTGTCGTAACACAGTAAAATGAAAAAGGTAAAGATCGTAAATGTGTAACTATGTAATGTGTACAATGATGAAGATGAGGATTATGTGGTGCCTGCTGTCTAGGTATTCACGTGCGTGTTGTCGTACAGCAGTCACCTTGCTCGGCTGACACTCCGGGTTAGCTGTGGGTGTCGGAAGGCTGTTGTTATAGGAAGGGAGAATAAGAGTAACACCTGGGTATGAGGTGCAGACGAAGTGCAAGACACAAGTACTCTGAAATGTTGAGGAAAAGAGTATATAGGTTAGAAAAGGAATAAACAAAGACTTTACTTTAAACAGTAAGCCGGACAGCGACAACCGAGTACTGAGACTGATGAATGACACAAGGCACTGAAGTCGACTGACCACGATGGTCAGGTCTATTGGGTTTTAATAATAATTACACCTATTGCCGATTTGGCAATAAATATTATTTGTTAATTCATCAGTCTCAGGCAGCGGATGTGCTGTCTGTATTTTATTAAAATAATTCTCACGATTATGAAAACGTGACACCATCACAATTTTCTTAAGGTTTTAAAATGATTTTTAGGATTATTAATAATTTTTTTTCTTGTAAAAATATAGTGGCTCAATTGATATTAGAAGAAATTAAAAAAAAATTATACTTCTTTTACAAATGAAATGATCAGCATTTAATGAATTATTTTAATTATATAAGGATGTCAAAGTTATTTCAACGTCTTACCATAATTCATTTGTTCAAAACCATTTATGTTTAAATTAGCAATGCAATTATGGAATGCATTTTGTGCTTGTGGTAAATTTTTGGATGACAAATAATTGATAACTTGATCAATTTTAATATCTGCTGATGTTGACAATAATAGTCCCTAAAAAAAAATTAGTTTTAGCTACTGGTTTTAAAATTCACTTTACACAGAACTTCTATAAAGTTCCTCGGTAATTAATTGGATTTCCAATAATAGTATATCGAGAGAAAGTTAATCATCTATATTATTATGATACGTTAGATACACAGAGCCCTACGCCTGTATCGCATATGTCAGCGATCGCTCTACTACGTTTACATGGTAATTGGACTGACCAACACAGTCTGCCACACGTTACAGTACAAAGTCCAGTAAGTGTCGATCGCCCGACGACGACCCTTTGCAAATATTGGTCGAGTCTGCTTCAAGTCGTCGATGATTTACGCCACTGGCTCTGGACGTGTTGCGCATCCTGACAAGATGAACCGATACCGCACCGTCGCCATCAACACTGTTACTATTGACGTCCGAGGACCATGTCGGACACCACATTTCTGACAACAGCGAAAGTGCCGCGATTTTATACGAACATTATTATTAATTGGGTTCGTCATTTCGATTTCTTTTTTTTAATAATCTTTTGTTGTTCTTCAGTAATAAACGACCCATGCCTCTGTACCATCTATATCAGTGTCGAATACATTATTGTGACGTAAGTCGTGTCAATTATAATTTCGAATTTATCTATGTACTCTTCAGATAGTAATAGACATTTAAAATTGCTAAACAAATAAAAAAACTGCCGTTTTCAACGATTGTAATTTTGATATATTTTCGTAAATATAAATTTTTATATTGTTATATATCATGTTAAATTTGTTCTACCATTAAAAAAAAAATGTTGTATAAAAATATGGTATAATTATGGTAATTTATGAGATTATTTTAACTTACAAAAGACAGAATTATTTGAAATCTCAAATACATAATTTTTGGCAAATTAATTGACCTAGAAAAAAATTTTTCTATTTTTAATATTAATGATTTTTAAGATCTAGAGAATGAAAAAGTTTTAAGACATAATTTTAATTAGCTTGGTTCTTATTTAGTGTTTCAAANAGACATAATTTTAATTAGCTTGGCTCTTATTTAGTGTTTCAAGCTATTCTGCAGTATTATACCGTAAGATAATTAGCTCCTGATTTGATATGACCAGAAATTTAAGTATAAAATATTTATAATTGTTTTAAAATTGTATAAAATTAACATTTCACTGTATAAAATTAACAATCTAACATAATATAATAAGTTACAAGTTTAGGATGTAAGAAATGATAGCAGAAAATTAACTTTTCGAGTAAAGCAGCACAACAAAGAATTATTATTGTTAAAAAAACAAAATAATAATTAGCTTTAATATGAACTACAAGCAATTTAATACACGTAGTACTAAGGTAGTCTTTTATTTAAAAATTTAAAAATTTCTTTTTTAACACCCCTCCAATTTTTTTTTTAGTATAAAAAAATAATATTCTGAAAATTTTAAGTAATTTGGAATAATTTAAGTCGAGTAGCACAGCATTTTAATGTTCTGACCTCGAATTTTCTATGAATATTCTGTAAAACGATAAAACAATGTATATTACAGGTTGTCAAGTAATTTTTTCAATAAAAGTCAAGATACAAAAAAATCTTATGTAAAGACATAAGGTTCATGTTTTATTTTTAAAAAATTATTGAATATTTTACTTGTAATAACAGTATATTGATAACACAAAAATAATTATAAAAAATTAAATAAAATTTAAAAATAGCTTTTTCTGAAAATTTATAAAAAATTAATAATATTAAAAATTTAGATTTTTTAATTAATAAATAAGAACATTTTAAAGTTTTCATAAAATAAAATAAAATGAAATACTATAGAAGTGGAATATGTCTTTTATGTTTATATATATATGTATATGTACTAAAAGTTTTGGGATAATGTTGATTTATTACTATTAGGATATATATTTTTGTGTTCAGACAACATTTGCAATAAGTATCTTTTTTTATCTTTTGTTAAAATATTGTTCTAATTTTCTATTCATTTTACGATTTTTTCGTTTATTATTAAAAAAAATACAATATAATGTTTATCGTATTAAAAGTTATAACAGTTATCAGTTATATGTATTCCGTTCTGTATATATAATGTATATTGTAACAACATAGTTACCTGAATAATTGACCAAATATTTGATGAGAATAATATAGTTGCATGTATTTAGTTTAACAAGTAAATTGAATTCGTTATTTTTTAACGATTTATATATTTTTGTTTTTCAAGGGAAATTTATTTTTAAAAAAGCTAAATATCAACAATCGAACTTTTACAAATAGAAACCAATAATAGTTTTAAAGTAATTTTTCTTTTAAACAACTTTTTTTGAACGTTATTATTATTTCATCATTAGTATAGATTTAATCCTAATAACAATAATCTATTGTTATTAGACGATGAAGTAAATATTTATAAACATTTTGTAGAATTGTTGTATTATTAACTTTGTATTAGACTAAAAAAAAAACGTTTTAGTATATACGAAGGAATGGATTGAATTGTCGGGGAGGGTACCCCGGGAGCACTGTGGATAATCTCATTTTTGTGTAGTAAGATTTTGTTGAAATAGTTCTGACAATAAGTCTATATCGTCGTGTATTGCTTTATTGTACTTTTAGTGTATTCAAGTTTTATATGACTAATCCCGTTTTGATTATTACGATTATTCTATTACACCTGACTCGCGCTATGTTCGTTTCTTGTCGGCAGCGTGTTCGAACTCCGATACCCTGATGACATCCGAATTTACCGCGGCGTCCCCTCCATTCCGATAAGAGGGGTGCGGTGCCGAAAAAGTGCCAAGATCGTTGGCGGTATGTAACTCGTAAGGGCCGTTAGATTCGGTGTTTTGCGCAACGATCGTGATGCGTGATATGTTGTTACCGGATAAAAATTGCGTAGGGCGCGTTTTAACTGAAACGTCGTTTAAAACGCTGCGCCCTGTTTGGATTTGTTGTTGGCTGAGGGGGCGGACTAATTCCCTCCTAGCCGATTGCCGTTTCCCGATACCGACGGTCTATTTGGGCATTGGCGATGCCAGTGTCGCTCGCTGCAATATCGGCACGGGGATGGCGGTGCGTCCGCGTTTGCATAATCTGCTCGCTGTCGGGCCGCTGGTTGAGCAGTATGCCGCGGAGGCAGTTCGGCTGGCTGTCGGGTCGTTGGTGGAGCGTACCGAGGAGCCGCGGTCTTATCTACGCTGTGCGCTATCTCACGTAGATCGGCGAAAGACGTTGGGTGCATTAACCGTATTGTTTCGGCGTGATCTCTAACTACTAAAGATCTTCGATAAATTAAATAAAACGTAAAAGAATGAAAAAATAGATATGCGTATATTAAATGTACGCGAGCGGTGCGCTTTACAAAGGTAGACTAACTGATTTAAAAACCGGACAACTATGCAGCCGCTGAACAACGATAAGATAAAACAAAAATAGCTACACTTATTGTGTAGGCCTAAACACACCGCCCGCCTTGAAATATTTGTTTCAAAGTAAAAGATAACAAAAAACAACTATAATCTAAGAACAAATTTCGCAACAACTAAAAACGTAAAAGGGAATACATAAATACAAAAAAAATTAATATACAAATAATCATTAGAAACAAATTCATTATGGAAAAATTAATGATTAATCCCACGCGGGATATGACACATATATATATTACAATAACTACGAATTATAAGAAATTTAAAAAAACTACAAACTGTTGCCTTCAAAAGGTAACGGACATAATAACCTGACCGCTCGTGAAAACTCGCCGACGTTAGTACGGACCTTTGCTGATCGTGCCACGTTGTCATCGTCACAGTATAATTCCATTACACGCCCAGCTTGCCCTTTGAGTGGTGGTAAATTTGTCTCTTTTACCAAAACAATAGTTCCAATTTGTAACTTAGGCCCTTTCGTGCTGGACCATTTGGTTCTTTCCTGTAGTTGAGATAAGTACTCTTAGTGCCATNCCTGTAGTTGAGATAAGTACTCTTGGTGCCACCGTTTCCAAAGTACTTGGGTGTAATGAGAGACTATTCTCCACCTATTTAAGTGAGTAATAGGCGTGGTCGTCTCGTCCTTTTCCGGTATGGCAGTCATTATATCGCCAATTAAAAAATGACCTGGTGTGAGATAGGTTAGATCAGCCGGATCAGAGGATACTGGAGTTATTGGTCGCGAGTTAAGTACAGCTTCCACTCTCGTTAGTACAGTTAATAATTCTTCGTACGTGAGCCGAGCTTTTCCCAAAACGCGATATAACAAACTTTTCATACTTTTGACCGCAGCCACCCAAAGTCCACCGAAATGCGGTGCACGGGGTGGTATAAATTGACACTCAATTCCTTTGTCCGCTGNTATAAATCGCCACTCAATTCCTTTGTCCGCTAGATGAGAGAAAACGGATCGCTGATGTTCTGGGGACTGGAAAAGTGTGTACACCTCCTTTAAATGCCGACGCATGCCCACAAAATTTCTTGTGTTATCACTGTAAATTATTGAACTTTTGCCACGTCGATCAAAAAATCTGTTCAACGCCTGTAAAAATGTCTTCGTTGACAAATCGCTCACGAGTTCGATATGTATCGCCTTTGTCGCGAAACATACAAATATGCTGATGTATCCTTTGTTACATGGTGCCTTACGATGCAAGCTCGTTCTTATCATGACTGGACCCGCAAAATCTACACCACATATGGCAAATGCTCTTCCACTCTGTACCCGTGAACCAGGCAGACTCCCCATGATCGGTTGTACTATTTGAGGTTTCAGTTTAAAACAATTAACGCAATTGTGTACTATAGTACGAGCCAAACTTCGCGCTTTTAAAGGCCAGTAGCGCTGCCTAATAGAGGCCACCAAGGCTTGAGGTCCACTGTGCATCAAATCCATGTGTTCTTTACGGAATAATAATTTTGTGTAAAGACAGTTATCAGGCAATACAATTTGATGTTTCTGATTGTCATTTATCCCCATAGCGTATTTTAAACGTCCTCCGACGCGTATAATATTATCCCCATCAATATATGGACTAAGACGCAGTAGTTTACTTTTTTTTGACACATTCGCATTTTCACTATTTAACTCTCTCAATTCTTGCCGAAAATGTGCGCGTTGAATTATTTTGATGATTGTCGTATTTGCTGTCTCTAGTTCGTTTACCGTTAACGGCCCATTATTTTTATCACCTACTGCTCGATTCATGTTATACCGCCAGCGTAAACAATACGCCGTCACTCTGATGATAAATAATAACGACGACCTTCTAGATAACAACGAATAACATTTATCGTGCGCTACGTATGCAACAGTCGTAATTGTTGTTTCGCCCGTTTTTTTGGCTTCTGGTATATTGTTTGTACTACTGTATTGTACACATGACTTCGGCCATTTCTCGTACTTCTCCTTCAACCAATGGGGACCGTCCCAACTAAATTGAATGCACCACAAACGTTGCATGATAATTTTTGCAACAACTAACACAGGCCCGATCAAACCAAGGGGATCAAAAATTGTGGCTATATTCGATAAAATTGTTCGCTTTGTTATATCGTTATTATTTATTATGTTTTCACTTAATGTATATTTAAATGAATCCGATGGCGGATCCCAACACAGGCCTAATATTTTCGTCGTGTCGTTATCGATAATACGCGGACCGTCACTATCTTTAATGTGTTCGGTAGGTAATAAACTACTTATTAAACTATTATCGTTCGATGCCCATTTCCGTAAATGTAGACCGGCACCTTTCATTACGGCAATAATATTGTCTCGTAATGTTAACCAATCATCCACATAAAAATCGTTAACTAATGATTAACACGCGTCAGGATACTTACTGAATTCACATTCAGCTACCTTTTCTAGGGATTGGTTATAATTGTCATTCATCGTGAGGAAAATCGCCGTTTGTTGATTTATGCTATTGAGTTGATTTTCCGATGAACCGGCAACCACCCATCCGAACTTTGTTTCCTGAAATACAGGACCGCCTGGTCGTGACTTTATTTTACCTGCAGACATTAAATCATAGAAGTGACCCGCTCCTATTAATAGGTCAATTTTCTGTGGCACGGTGAAACGCGGATTCGCTAAGACTATAGCTTTCGGAACCACGCAGCTATCATTTAGTCGGATGCCTGGTAGGTTACTCGTAATGTTCTTAACTACTAAACATGACAATGTTACTGAATAGTCATTTAAACGGGAGTTGGCTGTAACCATTACTCGAGATTTAATTCTTTGTACGTTTCCACCAATTCCTTGGACGCCTTGGTCGATATGGGTTTTCGGTAACCGCAAAATCTGTGCCATACGTTCGGTTATAAAGTTACTTTGTGATGCAGAATCCAGTAACACGCGACACTGCTCCCATTCACCACGATTACTGCTGACCAAAACAACTGCGGTTGGTAATAATATCGACGTAGCAGCCGGTTAGCTAGTATGTGCACTAACGGTTACTAATTCATTTTGAACTACTTGTTCTGACTCGCTATTTTCCGAATTTTCCGTTAAGTTTGTTGCTGAGTTGGACTCTGACTGATCGGTTCGTGCACTTAAGTGTAAAAGTGTATTATGTGGCTTGCCACACTTAAAACAACCTCATTAAAACATTTTTTCTTAGGGAGTGCCTGTAGACAATTCCTGCATAAATTGCGCTCACTAATGCGCTTAATGCGTTCAACTACGGACAAGGCCAAAAGACTAGAACATCGATACACCGAGTGATTTGAGTAACAATTAAAACATTTTTTGTCCAAATTTGTCACCGCATAAGCATTGCTCCGTACCATAGATTTTCTGACATCTTGACTATGGGTAGCCGGTGCTGTTGCGTTTCTCTGATTTATGGCTTTAGATGATTCGATCGCTTCTAAAATTTTAAACCGTTTTTCTAAAAATTCCACCAATTCGATAATTGTAGGAAGAGAGTCCTGAGCCGTGTCCGTTTCCCACGCTGGAAGACAACTTCTATCTAACTTGGTGGTTACTAAATACGTTAACATAGGACTCCATGACTCTGGCTCTTGATCAAGGGTTCTTAATCAAGGGTACTGGCTTTAAAGTATGAGTCTTCAAAATCAGCTCTATAATTTTGCTGTTCCCCTACGTTTATCCCTTCTAGCATGTCGATTTCCAAATGAACTTGGTCGTACTCACTCCATGCTTCCTCAATTTTTTCTCTTCTAAGCCGAATTTCAATTAGGTCCGACTTTTCGTCTTGCACAAACTTTAAACATTTTGTTAATGCTGAATTTAATTGACCTCTCCTTATGCTTAATCGCGTAACTTCATTTTTGCGATTATCTTCAGGCATAATTTGTTTTGTTGGTTTTTACCGATAATAAATAATTGTTCCAAAAGAAACCAACCGCCTCAGCTGACTGTTACTAATATATATGTACGCTCTATTAACTGTCAGAGAGCGTTCGTGGTAATTTGAGCAAAGTACAACTATAACGATAGTACCACAATAACCGCTGTACGCCGACACTATAAATATTGCGCACAGGTTTTTTACACTTAACTATATTTGTTTCACAATACTTATGACGATATCTAATGCACTTATACGAACATTAAATTAAAATACGTTAATAATATATAATAATATTATTATATTCTGCGTATAGCAATTGCTGCTGCTACGCACTACGATGGGCAGAAATTAACTCTTTTCTAACTCGATGCGTTAGAAATATTTACAAACACGCACATACAACGCTTAACTCACGTACCTTAATAACGCACTTTAGTTACGCAAATTTTCGCACTTTCACGTTTCCGGTACACACTAGACGTTCCGGGCGAAGGACCATATGTTTCGGCGTGATCTCTAACTACTAAAGATCTTCGATAAATTAAATAAAACGTAAAAGAATGAAAAAATAGATATGCGTATATTAAATGTACGCGAGCGGTGCCCTTTACAAAGGTAGACTAACTGATTTAAAAACCGGACAACTATGCAGCCGCCGAACAACGATAAGATAAAACAAAAATAGCTACACTTATTGTGTAGGCCTAAACACGTATCATAGCGCAGTAATCGTCCCGTAAAAGCCCCGTTAACTGTCGCAAAAGTTGTTGTTCTGGTAACTTACAACGTACTCGCGCGGTTAACGCTTGTCGGGGGCCCTGTCGCGTCGTTTTTAAGTCCGTCTCTAGCGCAGTCCGGATATCGATATTGTCGAACTCCTCGAGTAATTCGGACCTAAATTCCGTCCATGGCATATTGTTTAATTTAATCGCTCGCCACCAATCACCTGCCCTGTCGTTCAAAAACGGGAGGACGATGTTTACCCACGCGGTTGGGTGTATACCGCCCTGACAGAGTAGATCCTCCGCTCTATCTAGAAACTCCCGTGGGTCCTCTTCGTTTCTCCCGTAATACTCAGGTAAGCAGACGCGTACGTTGTGTAGGTCGTGGTAGGGTACCAATACCGACCGCGAGCTGCGGGTAGGCGACAAATCATTAAAGGACCGACGACCGTCAGTTGTTTTGAATTTCCCTTCCGCGATTGGCGCGTAAACTAAAAATCGGTCGGCTCGTTCTCATNCTGCTCCCATTCACCACGATTACTCTTGACCAAAACAACTGCGGTTGGTAATAATATCGACGTAGCAGCCGGTTAGCTAGTATGTGCACTAACGGTTACTAATTCATTTTGAACTACTTGTTCTGACTCGCTATTTTCCGAATTTTCCGTTAAGTTTGTTGCTGAGTTGGACTCTGACTGATCGGTTCGTGCACTTAAGTGTAAAAGTGTATTATGTGGCTTGCCACACTTAAAACAACCTCATTAAAACATTTTTTCTTAGGGAGTGCCTGTAGACAATTCCTGCATAAATTGCGCTCACTAATGCGCTTAATGCGTTCAACTACGGACAAGGCCAAAAGACTAGAACATCGATACACCGAGTGATTTGAGTAACAATTAAAACATTTTTTGTCCAAATTTGTCACCGCATAAGCATTGCTCCGTACCATAGATTTTCTGACATCTTGACTATGGGTAGCCGGTGCTGTTGCGTTTCTCTGATTTATGGCTTTAGATGATTCGATCGCTTCTAAAATTTTAAACCGTTTTTCTAAAAAGTCCACCAATTCGATAATTGTAGGAAGAGAGTCCTGAGCCGATTCCGTTTCCCACGCTCGAAGACAACTTCTATCTAACTTGGTGGTTACTAAATACGTTAACATAGGACTCCACAACTCTGGCTCTTGATTAAGGGTTTTTAATGCTTGCATATGTCCTTTTATTGAATCTGTAAATGCTCGAAGTTTAATTGCTGATTCTACAGTTAGCGTCTCTAAGTGAAATAACGCTTTCACATGGGCTTGTATTAGACTTTTTTTATTGTTGTATCTTTCAATTAATGTCCGCCATGCCACTGCGTAATTTGACGCCGTGATTTCCAAACAATTAACAGCCTGTTTGGCATCGTCTTTTAAAGCCGCTTTCAAATAGAAAAATTTTTGTATGTCTGACAATTGGTCGTTGGTATGAATTAATGCCGAAAAAATATCATAAAATGTTGACCATTGTTTATAGTCGCCATGAAATGATGGGATATCTAGCGGGGCTAATCTAATAGCTGGCGCCGCTACTGTTGGTGTCGCTACGATTGAAGCTGTTGCTGCCGTATTCCCTACACCAACGTCTGACGCGTTGCTGACTACCCTACTCAATTCAGATAGCCTTTTCTCCGCAATCGTACTGGCTTTAAAGTATGAGTCTTCAAAATCAGCTCTATAATTTTGCTGTTCCTCTACGTTTATCCCTTCTATCATGTCGATTTCCAACTGTACTTGATCGTACTCACTCCATGCTTCCTCAATTTTTTCTCTTCTAAGCCGAATTTCAATTAGGTCCGACTTTTCGTCTTGCACAAACTTTAAACATTTTGTTAATGCTGAATTTAATTGACCTCTCCTTATGCTTAATCGCGTAACTTCATTTTTGCGATTATCTTCAGGCATAATTTGTTTTGTTGGTTTTTACCGATAATAAATAATTGTTCCAAAAGAATCCAACCGCCTCAGCTGACTGTTACTAATATATATGTACGCTCTATTAACTGTCAGAGAGCGTTCGTGGTAATTTGAGCAAAGTACAACTATAACGATAGTACCACAATAACCGCTGTACGCCGACACTATAAATATTGCGCACAGGTTTTTTACACTTAACTAT